CTCCCTTTCGTTTTTTATAAATTTTAGATTTTACGTTTCCGAGTAATGGGGTTTTATTCATTAAAAAAAGGGGGATTTTCCAGTTTTCGGACAATAACTCAAGAATGCTTTCACCAACTTGCAAGAAATTGTGGTGAATTGTTAATATCTATTGACATGAGCTCCCTTTTGATTTTTATAAATTTTAGATTTTACATTTCCAATTTACAGGGTTTTATTCATAAAAAAGGGGGATTTTCCAGTTTTCGGACAAAAACTCAAAAATGCTTTCAGCAGTTCTTATGAAACTTTGGTGAGTTGTTTATATCTATTGTTGTAAGCTCCCTTTAGAATTTTATAAATTTTACATTTTACATTTCTGAGTAATGGGGTTTTATTCATTAAAAAAGGGGGATGATCCAGTTTTCGGACAATAACTCAAAAATGCTGTCAGCAATTCTCATGAAACTTTGGTGAATTGTTTATATCTATTGATGTAAGCTCCCTTTTGATTTTCATAAATTTCTAATATGACATTGAGAATTAATTGAACTTTAGTTGTTTATAGTCTGACAACAGATTACTAAGTATTGCGCAACAGCACAGTGTATTGCACAACAGCAAGAAATCTTTAATTGAATATAAATTCAATTCATATAACCAATTTCAAGTTCTTTGACTACATTTATTCAGAAACCTATAATATGTCAAATATTTAATTACAATCCAAATTCAGACCTGTATCAAGCTTGAATATTGTGTCCATTTTTGCCCCAACTGTTCAGGGTTGGACCTCTGCGGGCGTATCCAGCTGCGCTCAGCGAAGCAGTTTATTTTATATATATTAACTGTCTTTTATATTGAAATATAAACGTCGGTACCAGCATTTCTTTACTTTCAGCATTGTCCAGAATACTATTCATGTCCATATATTGAAAAAATTCATTTACGGACCGACCATTTAGCTTCAAAAGGGGTGTTTTTTTTCTGAGTAACGCTATCACCAAATATTTTTTTCGAAATTAGCACTTTAATATACTGTACTCGGAAAATTAGGAATCAGAACATTATTTTGTCATCTGCTTGACCACACTATATTTTTTCTCATAAAATTGGGGATCAGAATATTTTTTTTGTGGAAAAAACCATAACCCCCTTGGGTTATGGTAAATTCTGTAGTGTACTGATACGAATAGTAATATACTGGAATTGTTTGAAAAAAATACAGTTATTTGATGCCAACGTAAATATTTTAATAAAAAAGACAGGAAATATGTCAGTGATACAAAAAGTTCAAATCTAATCGAAATTTAAAGTGCCCATGAACTCACTGATCATGCACGAGTGATTCTATTCATAAAAAGAGTCCGTGTAACAACTAAAAAGTGTCCGTGTATCATCTATAAAGTGTCCGTGTAACACCCGTTAATGTACTGTTTTTCTATAGCTCTGCTGGGGGCAAAGTCGTACAAGCCCTGCTTGCATTTATTCATATAAGTTAACATATATATTGGTCTTTATCTGACTTTTTTTAAAAAAAAGATGTGGCATGATTACCAATGAGACAACTGCCCACCAGCTTTCAAATGAAGTGGATGTAAGCAATTATAGGCCACTGTACAGCATCCAACAATGTGAAAAACCCACACCATATAGTCGGCTGTAAAAGGCCTTATCAGGAAAAATGTGAAACAAATCAAACAAGAAAAATAACGACCTATTTTTAAGTTTCATGTTTATGTTGAGCATGTTGGGGACAACCTGCCAGATGGGGACAACCTGCAAGATGGGGACAACCTGCCAGATGGGGAATGGTCCATCTCCTCCGAGAAAATAAAGACAACTAACAACACATGGTCAAGATCCCTGCCTGACTGTACAGGAGAACAATGTGCCAGATGGGGAATGGTCCATCTCCTCCAAGAAAATAAAGATGAGCAAACAAAGACAACTAACAACACATGGTCAAGATCCCTGCCTGACTGTACAGGAGAACAATGTGCCAGATGGGGAATGGTCCATCTCCTCCAAGAAAATAAAGATGAACAAACAAAGACAACTAACAACACATGGTCAAGATCCCTGCCTGACTGTACAGGAGCACAATGTGGCTGGGTTAAACCAGATTTATGTGCATATAATCCTTCCATCTTTGTCTATCAAGATGGTATAATTGCAATGAATGGACACAGTTGAAAAAATAATCAAAAAGACAGTTCATTGCAATATCGATATTATTTAAATTTGGCTGTTAATTATAATTTTGGTTTTATCTACTATATTTTCACATGATTATAACAAGATTTTTTTGTTCCTTGCAGAAAGTATAAAATGGTTACTCATGTTAAGTGCACAGGAGACAAAGTAAAACACTTGGAAATGACAGATGACAGCAGATGCTGGACTTGAATGGAGAAGCAGTTTGGAAATTTTAGTCTGAGAAGAGCTTATACCAATCCAAAACATACAGGTAGGATCTAGCTAGACTACAATAGAAATGTATTTACTCTCAACACAATACAAGATCCATCTTAATCCAGTAATACAGGTAGGATCTAGCTAGACTACAATAGAAATGTATCTACTCTCAACACAATACAAGATCCATCTTAATCCAGTAATACAGGTAGGAGCTAGCTAGACTACAATAGAAATGTATTTACTCTCAACACAATACAAGATCCATCTTAATCCAGTAATACAGGTAGGATCTAGCTAGACTACAATAGAAATGTATTTACTCTCAACACAATACAAGATCCATCTTAATCCAGTAATACAGGTAGGATCTAGCTAGACTACAATAGAAATGTATTTACTCTCAACACAATACAAGATCCATCTTAATCCAGTAATACAGGTAGGATCTAGCTAGACTACAATAGAAATGTATCTACTCTCAACACAATACAAGATCCATCTTAATCCAGTAATACAGGTAGGATCTAGCTAGACTACAATAGAAATGTATTTACTCTCAACACAATACAAGATCCATCTTAATCCAGTAATACAGGTAGGATCTAGCTAGACTACAATAGAAATGTATTTACTCTCAACACAATACAAGATCCATCTTAATCCAGTAATACAGGTAGGATCTAGCTAGACTACAATAGAAATGTATTTACTCTCAACACAATACAAGATCCATCTTAATCCAGTAATACAGGTAGGATCTAGCTAGACTACAATAGAAATGTATTTACTCTCAACACAATACAAGATCCATCTTAATCCAGTAATACAGGTAGGATCTAGCTAGACTACAATAGAAATGTATTTACTCTCAACACAATACAAGATCCATCTTAATCCAGTAATATCATTTCCATCATACTTTTTTGTATTTTCAAAATATATGTTTTTGATAAGGATTTTTTGTTCATATATATGAAAATGACTGAAACCAGATGTTTCCATTACCTATTATGAGTAAAATACTGGCTAAAAACTTATATATTAATCATTTATCAATTTATTGTTGTTTGCCTTATTTCCAGTAGCAAATATTTCATGCAAATTCAGGAAGATCTGGCTTCTTAGAGACCAGTTTTTTTTTGGGCCAAATAAACCACTAAATGTACCTTTTCCTGTGAAAATTTTTAGTTTACATGTTTGTTTTTTTTATTTTTGTCATTTAACATTGCAACCACTTGTGATAAGTTACTGCTGTCTTAAATTTCACAGGTTAACAGCCTTTCTTGTTACTGTTTATGTGCTGCTTATATATAAACATTGTAGCACTTCTCAGTGACTAGATAGAGTTGTAGCTTTTCATCAATTTTAGCAGCAGCTAAATATATGTATTCTGTCTTACTCGGAATGACACCAGCATGATCAGGTTGTGATACTCCAATGTTTTTTCTATGAATATCGAGAACTGTTCTTTTCTTTCCAGAATCTAATTGGAATTGCGCTGTTATGTTTCTCTTTTAATCATTTTCTGGCTAATCATGCATGATTATGTACAAATTTGATAACAGCTAGGATAATTATATAGCTGTTGTTCAATCACTGTGTCTGTTTATATGCTTCTAAAATATATGCATGGGACATAATCATATATGTAAATTCTAAACTGTTGGTAGAGTGAACAAAATTTCATAAAGCTTTTTTTTCAGAATATCGAACAGATATTATCAGTATTCAGATGCCTAATGATCTGAAGTATAGTCCTCTTGTCCTTGACCTTGATTTAAAGACTAAATAAACAAAATGTATTATCAAGGTGTGAGGACTACTACTTTTTTAAATTAAGGAATAATTTGGGTATATTAATTGCTTGAAAGAAATACATGCATGTTTTACAGTTTTCACCTCACTTTGACCTTTACAATTGATCATTTTAAGGTGACAGGATTTACCTGACCTTGACCTCATATTATATAATCAGTACAGTTTGTGTGACACATGAAATAAGATTTCCATATCAAAGGTTGTCTGTTACAGGTAAATGAATATAAGCAGAAGTGTTCTATTTGTTTATGCCTCATCTACTTTTATTGTAAAGAGAGAAAATAGAAAAAATGGCAACAAGTTTAAACTCTGTTAAATAATATGCATATTTTATAGTTGTCTACAAGATAATCTTGATAATGTTGACTGACTGAAAAGAAATTTGAGTAAGTACACGCAGTAGTTGGATACTATTCATGATACGTATGGCGAAGTTAAGCCGGTCTCTGTGTTTAGGGTTCACAGATGCTATACCTCCCTTTTAGGTATAGTAACGTCCCCTAGCATACGTATCAAGTATCTGCTACTACTTGTACGTATGTCTAAGTGAGCCTAAGCTTGGTGGCTCAGTCTTAGCCTAGCTTGGAAGCTCTGTTCAAGCGTGGTGGCTAGGTCAAAAAAAATATTTGCCTACATTTTATTGGGGAAAAAAGGGATATTTTATCTATTTTTTATCCATTTGGGAATGGGGGTTAGAGGGAATATTTTACCTTTTTTATGACCAAATTTTTAAATTGTACATATGACTGTTTTTATATATTTTTCAATTTTATCTCAGTTAATTTTAAGCCCCCCAAGTCAAATCGGAGACTTAAAAACTGGTACTCCAAAAGGAAAAAGATAGGTGTCTTACTGTGGGCATTTGTCTTGGTGAACTAGCACCTTAAAGTCCAGCTAACCCACAGGCCGGCTGGCTAGTACAAGCAGACAGGTATTTTTAATACCATTTGGCATTTTTTAACTTTGGCATTTTTTCATTTGGCTTTTTGCTTTATATGTTTTTTAACTATTTGGATTTTTATACCATTTGGCATTTTTTATTTTTTTTTTTTCATTTTTTGCAACATATTTTTTCATCAACACACCCAAAACACTTCAAAATTAAGAGTTAAATATACACTTTTGGCATTCATAATGTTTATCAATCAAAATAGCATTCTATTTTCAAATTGACATTACACAATTTGGCTTTCTGTAACTTTGGCTGTTAATCTTTTGTTCGAATGCTATGATGACCATTATGTGTAGAAAATAAGACTACATTTCTAAAAGTGGCTCAGTATCATATATTTATGTTTAATGTCAATTAGTTCTGAATTTTCTTCATATTTCTAAAATGTAAATTCTTCCATATCTGGTATATCTTATGATATCGTATTCATTTACTAACCCAATTTTCTTATAGGGACTTAACACTAAGCAGAAGGGGTATAGTTGGTAGGTGGTTAAGGGTGTTATGATAGGGTGAAAGGGTGAGAAAGGGAGGGAGAAAAATAGAATGATGGAGAGGGTGAGGGTATATGATTGTGAGTGGAATGTAGAGAGGGAGAGAAGGTGTGAGAGAATGTCATTTCATAGTAAGGGCAGGATGTACTGGTCTAATGGAAGTGCAGTTTTCTGTTTTGTCTCGTGTAGTTTCTATTTTCTTCATCATCTGATAACTTTAAATATGAAATTGCTGCCATCTAAAAGTTCACAGGTTAACAGCCTTTCTTGTTACTGTTTATGTGCTGCTTATAAATAAACATTGTAGCACTTCTCAGTAGCTAGATAGAGTTGTAGCCTTTCATCAAATTAAGCAGCAGCTTCTTTACAGTCTATCTTAGAATGATGCCAAGTGCTGATAGCCTAATTCTTCTGTGCTTAACTTTCTATGAACTGAACTAGTAATTACGCATGATTAAGCTGTTAGTTTCTCATTGAGTCTTTTTCAAGCGTGTTATATTCAGATCTTTGTGAACTCTCTCAAAAAAGACATTTAGTCCTGTCAATCTCGTTATATCATGTAATAGTATACTAATATATTGATTATATCAAGATTGCTGTGAACTCTCTCTTTCAGTTCTTTCAAGTCACTGAAGATGCAACATGAATAATCTTTGTTGGACTGTTAACAATTTTGTCTAAAGATTTATTTTCAGAAGATAAGATATCGGTAATCCATTTTGTATTTGCAGATGCCTAATGATCTGAAGTAGTTCCATTGCACTTGACCTTAGTTTCATGGTTCAATGCACAAATTGTATTACTAAGGTGTTGTGAGGTCTACCACTCTTTTGACCGTATTTTCATGATCCAATAAACCAAATGTATTACTAAGATGTTGTGAGGTCTACCGCTCTTCATTCAGGGAATAGGTCAGCTATGTTTGGTTGATATTTAAACCATGTCTATCAAATAGAAATTACCTGACCAGGCTGACCTTAACCCCATATTAACTGTTCCTTTATTAAACATAGCTTTTATGACACATGTAATAAGATTTTGATATCAAAGATTGTCTGTAGTAAATGACTATGCAGAGAAGATCTATTTGTTTATGGCTCATTGGTTTGCCTAAAGAAAAAAGATTGAAGTGTATGTGGTAGGATAAGATACAAGTGTAAACTATGTAAGTACAATTTGTATATTTTAAAGTTGTATGCAATATGACACATAATGCACAGGATAAACTATTGACTTAAAAGTCAAGTACAAGAAGTAGTTGGATACTATTCATGATACGTATGGCGAAGTTAAGCCGGTCTCTGTGTTTAGGGTTCACAGATGCTATACCTCCCTTTTAGGTATAGTAACGTCCCCTAGCATACGTATCAAGTACCTGCTACTACTTTTACGTATGTCTAAGTGAGCCTAAGCTTGGTGGCTCAGTCTTAGCCTAGCTTGGAAGCTCTGTTCAAGCGTGGTGGCTAGGTCGAAAACAATATTTGCCTACATTTTATTGGGGGAAAAAGGGATATTTTATCTATTTTTTATCCATTTGGGAATGGGGGTCAGAGGGGATATTTTACCTTTTTTATGACCAAATTTTTAAATTGTACATATGACTGTTTTTATATATTTTTCAATTTTATCTCAGTTAATTTTAAGCCCCCCAAGTCAAATCGGAGACTTAAAAACTGGTACTTCAAAAGGAAAAAGATAGGTGTCTTACTGTGGGCATTTGTCTTGGTGAACTAGCACCTTAAAGTCCAGCTAACCCACAGGCTGGCTGGCTAGTACAAGCAGACAGGTATTTTCAATACCATTTGGCATTTTTAAACTTTGGCATTTTTTCATTTGGCTTTTTGCTTTATATGTTTTTTAACTATTTGGATTTTTATACCATTTGGCATTTTTTATTTTTTTTCTTCATTTTTTGCAACATATTTTTTCATCAACACACCCAAAACACTTCAAAATTAAGAGTTAAATATACACTTTTGGCATTCATAATGTTTATCAATCAAAATAGCATTCTATTTTCAAATTGACATTACACAATTTGGCTTTCTGTAACTTTGGCTGTTAATCTTTTGTTCGAATGCTATGATGACCATTATGTGTAGAAAATAAGACTACATTTCTAAAAGTGGCTCAGTATCATATATTTATGTTTAATGTCAATTAGTTCTGAATTTTCTTCATATTTCTAAAATGTAAGTTCTTCCATATCTGGTACATCTTATAATATCGTATTCATTTACTAACCCAATTTTCTCATAGGGACTTAACACCAAGCAGAAGGGGTATAGGTGGTAGGTGGTTAAGGGTGTTATGATAGGGTGAAAGGGTGAGAAAGGGAGGGAGAAAAATAGAATGATGGAGAGGGTGAGGGTATATGATTGTGAGTGGAATGTAGAGAGGGAGAGAAGGTGTGAGAGAATGTCATTTCATAGTAAGGGCAGGATGTACTGGTCTAATGGAAGTGCAGTTTTCTGTTTTGTCTCGTGTAGTTTCTATTTTCTTCATCATCTGATAACTTTAAATATGAAATTGCTGCCATCTAAAAGTTCACAGGTTAACAGCCTTTCTTGTTACTGTTTATGTGCTGCTTATATATAAACATTGTAGCACTTCTCAGTAGCTAGATAGAGTTGTAGCTTTTCATCAAATTAAGCAGCAGCTTCTTTACAGTCTATCTTAGAATGATGCCAAGTGCTGATAGCCTGATCCTTCTGTGCTTAACTTTCTATGAACTGAACTAGTAATTACGCATGAATAAGCTGTTAGTTTCTCATTGAGTCTTTTTCAAGCGTGTTATATTCAGATCTTTGTGAACTCTCTCAAAAAAGACATTTAGTCTTTTCAATCTCGTTATATTATGTAATAGTATACTAATATATTGATTATATCAAGATTGCTGTGAACTCTCTCTTTCAGTTCTTTCAAGTCACTGAAGATGCAACATGAATAATCTTTGTTGGACTGTTAACAATTTTGTCTAAAGATTTATTTTCAGAAGATAAGATATAGGTAATCCATTTTGTATTTGCAGATGCCTAATGATCTGAAGTAGTTCCATTGCACTTAACCTTATTTTCATGGTTCAATGCACAAATTGTATTACTAAGGTGTTGTGAGGTCTACCACTCTTTTGACCGTATTTTCATGATCCAATAAACCAAATGTATTACTAAGATGTTGTGAGGTCTACCGCTCTTCATTCAGGGAATAGGTCAGCTATGTTTGGTTGATATTTAAACCATGTCTATCAAATAGAAATTACCTGACCAGGCTGACCTTAACCCCATATTAACTGTTCCTTTATTAAACATAGCTTTTATGACACATGTAATAAGATTTTGATATCAAAGATTGTCTGTAGTAAATGACTATGCAGAGAAGATCTATTTGTTTATGGCTCATTGGTTTGCCTAAAGAAAAAAGATTGAAGTGTATGTGGTAGGATAAGATACAAGTGTAAACTATGTAAGTACAATTTGTATATTTTAAAGTTGTATGCAATATGACACATAATGCACAGGATAAACTATTGACTTAAAAGTCAAGTACAAGAAGTAGTTGGATACTATTCATGATACGTATGGCGAAGTTAAGCTGGTCTCTGTGTTTAGGGTTCACAGATGCTATACCTCCCTTTTAGGTATAGTAACGTCCCCTAGCATACGTATCAAGTACCTGCTACTACTTGTACGTATGTCTACGTGAGCCTAAGCTTGGTGGCTCAGTCTTAGCCTAGCTTGGAAGCTCTGTTCAAGCGTGGTGGCTAGGTCGAAAACAATATTTGCCTACATTTTATTGGGGGAAAAAGGGATATTTTATCTATTTTTTATCCATTTGGGAATGAGGGTCAGAGGGGATATTTTACCTTTTTTATGACCAAATTTTTAAATTGTACATATGACTGTTTTTATATATTTTTCAATTTTATCTCAGTTAATTTTAAGCCCCCCAAGTCAAATCAGAGACTTAAAAACTGGTACTCCAAAAGGAAAAAGATAGGTGTCTTACTGTGGGCATTTGTCTTGGTGAACTAGCACCTTAAAGTCCAGCTAACCCACAGGCCGGCTGGCTAGTACAAGCAGACAGGTATTTTCAATAACATTTGGCATTTTTAAACTTTGGCATTTTTTCATTTGGCTTTTTGCTTTATATGTTTTTTAACTATTTGGATTTTTATACCATTTGGCATTTTTTTTTTTTCTTCATTTTTTGCAACATATTTTTTCATCAACACACCCAAAACACTTCAAAATTAAGAGTTAAATATACACTTTTGGCATTCATTATGTTTATCAATCAAAATAGCATTCTATTTTCAAATTGACATTACACAATTTGGCTTTCTGTAACTTTGGCTGTTAATCTTTTGTACGAATGCTATGATGACCATTATTGTTTAGAAAATAAGACTACATTTCTAAAAGTGGCTCAGTATCATATATTTATGTTTAATGTCAATTAGTTCTGAATTTTCTTCATATTTCTAAAATGTAAGTTCTTCCATATCTGGTACATCTTATAATATCGTATTCATTTACTAACCCAATTTTCTCATAGGGACTTAACACCAAGCAGAAGGGGTATAGGTGGTAGGTGGTTAAGGGTGTTATGATAGGGTGAAAGGGTGAGAAAGGGAGGGAGAAAAATAGAATGATGGAGAGGGTGAGGGTATATGATTGTGAGTGGAATGTAGAGAGGGAGAGAAGGTGTGAGAGAATGTCATTTCATAGTAAGGGCAGGATGTACTGGTCTAATGGAAGTGCAGTTTTCTGTTTTGTCTCGTGTAGTTTCTATTTTCTTCATCATCTGATAACTTTAAATATGAAATTGCTGCCATCTAAAAGTTCACAGGTTAACAGCCTTTCTTGTTACTGTTTATGTGCTGCTTATATATAAACATTGTAGCACTTCTCAGTAGCTAGATAGAGTTGTAGCTTTTCATCAAATTAAGCAGCAGCTTCCTTACAGTCTATCTTAGAATGATGCCAAGTGCTGATAGCCTGATCCTTCTGTGCTTAACTTTCTATGAACTGAACTAGTAATTACGCATGAATAAGCTGTTAGTTTCTCATTGAGTCTTTTTCAAGCGTGTTATATTCAGATCTTTGTGAACTCTCTCAAAAAAGACATTTAGTCTTTTCAATCTCGTTATATTATGTAATAGTATACTAATATATTGATTATATCAAGATTGCTGTGAACTCTCTCTTTCAGTTCTTTCAAGTCACTGAAGATGCAACATGAATAATCTTTGTTGGACTGTTAACAATTTTGTCTAAAGATTTATTTTCAGAAGATAAGATATAGGTAATCCATTTTGTATTTGCAGATGCCTAATGATCTGAAGTAGTTCCATTGCACTTGACCTTATTTTCATGGTTCAATGCACAAATTGTATTACTAAGGTGTTGTGAGGTCTACCACTCTTTTGACCGTATTTTCATGATCCAATAAACCAAATGTATTACTAAACTGTTGTGAGGTCTACCACTCTTCATTCAGGGAATAGGTCAGCTATGTTTGGTTGATATTTAAACCATTTCTATCAAATAGAAATTACCTGACCAGGCTGACCTTAACCCCATATTAACTGTTCCTTTATTAAACATAGCTTTTATGACACATGTAATAAGATTTTGATATCAAAGATTGTCTGTAGTAAATGACTATGCAGAGAAGATCTATTTGTTTATGGCTCATTGGTTTGCCTAAAGAAAAAAGATTGAAGTGTATGTGGTAGGATAAGATACAAGTGTAAACTATGTAAGTACAATTTGTATATTTTAAAGTTGTATGCAATATGACACATAATGCACAGGATAAACTATTGACTTAAAAGTCAAGTACAAGAAGTAGTTGGATACTATTCATGATACGTATGTCGAAGTTAAGCCGGTCTCTGTGTTTAGGGTTCACAGATGCTATACCTCCCTTTTAGGTATAGTAACGTCCCCTAGCATACGTATCAAGTACCTGCTACTACTTGTACGTATGTCTAAGTGAGCCTAAGCTTGGTGGCTCAGTCTTAGCCTAGCTTGGAAGCTCTGTTCAAGCGTGGTGGCTAGGTCGAAAACAATATTTGCCTACATTTTATTGGGGGAAAAAGGGATATTTTATCTATTTTTTATCCATTTGGGAATGGGGGTCAGAGGGGATATTTTACCTTTTTTATGACCAAATTTTTAAATTGTACATATGACTGTTTTTATATATTTTTCAATTTTATCTCAGTTAATTTTAAGCCCCCCAAGTCAAATCAGAGACTTAAAAACTGGTACTCCAAAAGGAAAAAGATAGGTGTTTTACTGTGGGCATTTGTCTTGGTGAACTAGCACCTTAAAGTCCAGCTAACCCACAGGCCGGCTGGCTAGTACAAGCAGACAGGTATTTTCAATACCATTTGGCATTTTTAAACTTTGGCATTTTTTCATTTGGCTTTTTGCTTTATATGTTTTTTAACTATTTGGATTTTTATACCATTTGGCATTTTTTATTTGTTTTTTTTTTTTTTCATTTTTTGCAACATATTTTTTCATCAACACACCCAAAACACTTCAAAATTAGGAGTTAAATATACACTTTTGGCATTCATAATGTTTATCAATCAAAATAGCATTCTATTTTCAAATTGACATTACACAATTTGGCTTTCTGTAACTTTGGCTGGTAATCTTTTGTACGAATGCTATGATGACCATTATGTGTAGAAAATAAGACTACATTTCTAAAAGTGGCTCAGTATCATATATTTATGTTTAATGTCAATTAGTTCTAAATTTTCTTCATATTTCTAAAATGTAAGTTCTTCCATATCTGGTACATCTTATAATATCGTATTCATTTACTAACCCAATTTTCTCATAGGGACTTAACACCAAGCAGAAGGGGTATAGGTGGTAGGTGGTTAAGGGTGTTATGATAGGGTGAAAGGGTGAGAAAGGGAGGGAGAAAAATAGAATGATGGAGAGGGTGAGGGTATATGATTGTGAGTGGAATGTAGAGAGGGAGAGAAGGTGTGAGAGAATGTCATTTCATAGTAAGGGCAGGATGTACTGGTCTAATGGAAGTGCAGTTTTCTGTTTTGTCTCGTGTAGTTTCTATTTTCTTCATCATCTGATAACTTTAAATATGAAATTGCTGCCATCTAAAAGTTCACAGGTTAACAGCCTTTCTTGTTACTGTTTATGTGCTGCTTATATATAAACATTGTAGCACTTCTCAGTAGCTAGATAGAGTTGTAGCTTTTCATCAAATTAAGCAGCAGCTTCTTTACAGTCTATCTTAGAATGATGCCAAGTGCTGATAGCCTGATTCTTCTGTGCTTTTCTTTCAAGTTAAAAAAAAAATAATCTTTCTATGAACTGAACTAGTAATTACGCATGATTAATCTGTTAATTTCTCATTGAGTCTTTTTCAAGCGTGTTATATTCAGATCATTGTGACTCTCTCATTTAGTCTTTTCAATCTCATGATATATTTGAATAGTATACTAATATATTGGTTATATTAAGATTGCTGTAAACCCTCGACTCTTACATTTTGTTCAAGTCACTGAAGTCTCATATC